TTGTCTGTCTGTCTGTGTGTGTGTCTGTTGTTGTGTGTGTGTGTGTGTGTGTGTGTGTGCGTTTTTTTGCACATTTGTAGTCAGCATAACTTCATACTTGGGACATCTGTAAGATAATCAAAAGTTAACATCACGATGCATATATTTTTTTAATGCAGAGGTCATTTTCATAATTAAAGAAGAAATTTACATTTACATATCAAGCCCATATTTCATGGAGGTATTTAAACTGTGAGTTGACTGTCAGTGCACTCTTTAAAGTTTTCTAACCTGTTTGTCCCTCCAGGTCGCACTGAACAACCATCGGCAGGACCCCGCGTCCTGGTCCGTCAGGGTCGATCACGTAGAACGCCTGGTTATCAAACCCACTTCTTCCCGCTACTTCGGTGCAGCTAGACGGTAGATTGCATGTATCTGTTTTGGAAAATCAAGAAAAAAACGAATACAACTTTAGGTTCGTGCATTTATTGTGATGATACCAAAAGAAATAGGATAGTGAGGGTTTATGTCTACTGATGTCTCCATAAATATTTCGGAGTTAGTGGTGAATGTATCAAAGATGTAATATACAAAACATACGTTACACCTGAGCAAGGCATGGGCGTGGGCGTGGTCTCGGTTGTATTCTCCAGGTCTGACACCCTCTGTTCGAGATCCTCACACTTCCTTTGTAGTTCATCTATTTCTGTGGCTTTTGGGAAAATGCACCTATTAGTACCTGTTAGATTAGTAGAAGCATTTATGGATTATGATGATATTTGGTATGTTGGTAAGTCTTAGGAAGACAAAGGTCAACGTCAAATACGGGCCTCCTGGTGGATGACTTGGTACTGCAGCAGAACTTCCGTTTTTTTTTTATCTTTTGCCCTGAATATGCTATGGTCTTGATGTTTTGGTGACAGATTGCTTTTCCTGTCAGGAATAAGTGGTGTGAGGTTGGTCCTCTAGCAGCTTGTTCTGGAACAGCAGGGCACTTTCTGGCGAAATCTTTAAAAGCCAATAAGTCCAGAAAGAAACAAGAGTTCCGAGGATTCATACCTCCATGAAATATGGGCTTGATATGAAAATTTCTTCTTTAATTATGCAAATGACCTCTGCATGAACATGATATATGCATCGTGGTGTATGTTAACTTTTGATTAACTTACAGATGTCCCAAGTATGACATTCCCATCATTCACCATTAATCAGTACGTATTTTCATCATTTGTGGTGTGTAGGTAGCTGAGAGAGAGTTGTACATAATCAAATCCAAATTATGCAAATGAGGACTTAATTTGCATAATTGATTGGGAAATTCTATAATTACACTATTTTGCATAATAGTACTTTCATACATTTAATGTATGTAATCTACGGCAGGTCGAACATCAACAGATACCAATTATGCAAATGATGACCTAATTTGCATAATAAATTTGAAAATTAATTTGCATAATTAATGAAGACATGTTACTTGAAATATTTTCAAAAGATAGGAATTTCACAAGCAAAACATTATAGTTGGAGTAAATTAGAAAACCATAAATTTAACTTTACTAGATTATGGTAAATGTGATATTATATTTGAATTAAAATGATCCCTCGAAAAACATTTACATAAACTCTATATATTTCATGGAGGTATGATATCTCAGAATTCTTGTTAAATTTTGACTCTTAGCTCTCTCGATACATCAACTTATTACAATTTTGGGTGAATAACAAAAATGTGAACCGACCAGAAGATGTATAGCTAGACACTGGGCACCATGGCCAGGTCCTCATATCCTACAGTATTATTTTAAGTCTCTTCCAAACTTGTTATGCAAGTTTTGAAACTCTTTAAAACTCTCGATTTTACTAGAGAGAGCCTCTCTGTTCAAAGTTCAAATATGGGTAAGTTGTAATGTACATTTATAGTCGTACCTTTTGTTCCACAAGGACAGTCCCGGCCCGGCATGCCGTCCCGACCGTCTCTCCCAGGCGGACCCTGTAAACAGGCTGAGGAGGAACAAGAGTACATTTCAATACACCAAAAACAGTTAAGCAACTGGATATGATTTTGAAAGTTGCTCGAGTAATTGTTTTTTTGGGGGGTATCTAATTACCTACTGAAAGGTCTAACCATCACCAGCGAGTCAATTTTACTAGTACGGATAAAAGTTCAAAGACATGCAAAAGACAGCAGGGCATGGGATGTTGACACACACCAAACGCATAATTTGGAAAGTGGAAAATGTCATAATATGAATTCCACCTGCATAGGCATCTTTATCCCAACTATTAAACGTATCACTAATGTCTACTAACGATAGTACTATGCGACCTGTAGGGAGTCTAAAACAGCTATCAGCCACCACAGTATAGTTAGTTAGCCTCAATTTGACGACTATAGCATTGAACCCTCAATCAAAACATGATTCACAATGAATCAGGTAACTGGATAATTCTGAGGAAGTGTCAGTTATTAATAGAAGATAGTGAATGTTATCTGAAACGCCTTGCGATTTAGAGAAGAAATCCGGGAATAGATAGGTTCTGAAAACAATAATCGATGCCAACTTGGCTTCAACTCATATGGAAGTTGGACTTACCGCCCGCCCCAGCCGGCCATGTCACAGAGTTCGCCGCCCTCTTTTGTCTTTGTGCTGGCCGAGGGACGTCCGCACTCTCAGTACTGGCGTACGACTCGGCAACAGATTTAGAGGTAGCACTGGTTTTCCCAGGTTCGGATGACTGGCATGCAAGAGCGATGTTAACGTTACTAAAAGGTTTGATTAAGTCATACTTCCTTATAGGGATCAACTTAACCCTCAACAGTACACCTTCCCGGACTGATTAATCTGTACACCTGGGGTCCGCGCGGACCCCAAGACAGTTTTTTGCTAATTTTTAGAAATTATCAACATGCTACCAGCTCAATTGTTTTGCAAACTGATGTGGGAACCTCTGTGTCCACATTACATTCAAAAATCATACATTTTGAACTTTTTCTATTTTTTGGTAAGAAAAGAAGACAAGAAGAAATACCCGATTTTTAAACCCATTTCAGACTGAAGGGGCTTTTGAGGCCCAACTTTGATCTCAGATAGCAGCTAAATGGCTTGCGCTAGAAGTATCAAATTTGGAGACCTTTCCTAAAATGTCTCTGGAAAAAAGTTCATATTAGTTTAATACTAGTAAGTTGATGTTTTTTTGTGTTGCCATGGCAACGGGATTCTAGCAGGCAGTTTTTTTTGAAAATAGAAGTAATTTTGGTTTAAACATAAAAATTTTCTGAGTTTTATATTAAATTACACTTCTTTTCCAACATTAATAACATCTTACATAATTAAATATAAGTTAAATCATTTAATATGCGTAGAATATGCTAATTTGATGACGTCATTGGTCAAAATCCAATATGGCGGACTATATTATTAGCTCTGGCGTCATATGACGTCATAATTACACCAAAGTTATCAAAATTTAATTCTAGTAACTACACCATTCTCTGAAAACTTGGTAGACATACGATGAGTGCATAAAAACATATAAAAACGGAAATAAGGTAATGTATAAGAACGTCAGTGTATCCATTATGATCGAAAGCCGGCTGGGGTCCGCGCGGACCCCAAAAGAAAATCAGATATAATTTTTTGTATAAATGGTAGAAACGGAGTTTTCTGCACTGTATTGAAAGACAACTTTGTGGGTGACAATTACCTAAAATTTCAGAAAAAAATCTTTAGAAACAAAAAAGATATTACAGAATATATAGTGCTGGGGTCCGCGCGGACCCCAGGTGTACTGTTTAGGGTTAAAACTTCCCTACTGACAAAACTTGGTAAAAAAAATAGCCTTCATATGTCAAAAAGTAATTTACTGAGTACCCAAAATGTTTAAAACAATCGACATACAAGAGTTCCACGATCTCATACCTTCGTCGAATGATGTTAACCCTCTCGACTGACGACTTATACAGTTTTCCCATTGATTTTTTAATAAGCCTCATTTCTGGAAATAAGTTGATCATATTCTTCACCCAATAACAGTCTTATCTTAACAAAGAATGCTTTTCCAATATTTCTCATTAATTATGCAATTGGTGTTCTGATTTGAATAACTTATGCTGTAATTAGCTGTAAGTTGTCATTACCTGAGGACGAGAATTGATGTCACCAGTTACTTGCGCATTGTTGGTTTTCGCCTCCAGGGCGTCTAGCCGAGCGCTGAACAGCGTCAAGTCGACCTCTCGTCGTGCCTTAATGGCTGCCACTTCCTTCTCGAGGTCAGCGACTATCTTCTGGTAGTCAGAAATTGTGCTCTTCCGAATTGAGACCTCCTCTATGATCAAGTGTGTCCCCTGTTGGATAGCGAGGACGATGATGATCACGGACATACTCGCGGTCAAGAGTTGCACCAGCGAGGTGAAGGCGATGGGACCGGGGCCGGGGCCGCGACGACGGCTGAAGTAACCATCGCTATCCATAGTGAGCTTCTCAGTGCTCATTATCAATGTAAAAATGAACTCTATACCCACTAAAGAAGAATATAGTGTGCAGGAAGTCTGTGGCTAGCCCCGCGGAACTTTGACGCAGGTCTGGTTACCACAGGATTCTCCACACGTCTGATCTTTGCGCAGACCCGCAGGTCCGGTTGTTCGGGCCCGATCATGAGTCATCATTTAGCGTTAAGATTGGCCCAGACCAAACAACTAGGTCAGACTCCATTGTGATGCCACCACAAACTAAATGCTTCTGTACATTTGACCTGTGCAGGGCGTTCCGAGAAAAGTACGCCTCACCTGCAATAGGGAGACGTGTTAAACGAGCAAAATCCGTACAAAACATGTACAAGCTGATATACAGATCTGTTGGAAATAAGCTATCTAAGAAAACGGTCTGAAATCAACAAGATTTTTTCATTCAGCATACAATAAACAAAATAAGGGTACAGGACAAAGTGACGACGGACAAGTTAGGTAACTTATGTTAGCGCCGCCACTTATACGAATAAAACGAATATTACTAAACAATGCAAAACACTAACCAAGAATACATGTAAAAGAATAGAACAGACAGCTATCATCAGCGAACAGAAATGGCTGGGAAACTAAGTCCTCTAAAATATCGTTAACATAGACAAGAAGAAAAAAGGGGCCAAGAAAGGACCCCTGGGGGACACCCGCAGGAACACCAGCTGCAGGTAGAACTCTGACCTTCAATAACAGCATGCTGATGTCTATTACTAAGGTAGCTAAATAACCAATTTAAAATAGAACCTTCGATGCCATTTTTACGTAATTTGAAAATAAGGCCAGTATGCCATACTATGTCAAAGGTACTTGAAAAATCTATGAAAAAAAACAAAACGGACCTCCTTCCCCGAATCCAATGCTTCAAGGATTACATGAGTAAAACAAGAATTCCGAGATTTCATACCTCCATGAAATATGGGCTTGATATGTAAATGTAAATTTCCTCTTTAATTATGCAAATTACCTCCGCATTAACATGATATATGCATCGTGATGTATGTTAACTTTTGATTAACTTACAGATGTCCCAAGTATGACATTCCCATTATTCACCATTAAGAAATCATAGAATTTTTGCATAAATTATGCAAATTAGGTCATCATTTGCATAACTAGTATCTGTTGATGTTCTGCCTGCCATAGGTTACATACATTACATGTATAAAAGTAGTATAATGTAAAACACTGTAATCATAGAATTTCTTCATTAATTATGCAAATTAAGTCCTCATTTGCATAATTTGCATTTCATCATGTACATCTCTCTCTCTCAGCTACCTACACACCAAAAATTATGAAAATATGTTGTTCCTATCTGGACTTATTGGCTTTTAAACATTTCGCCAGAAAGTGCCCTGCAGTTCCAGAACAAGCTGCTCACACCACTTATTCCTGACAGGAAAAGCAATCTGTCACCAAAACATCAAGACCATAGCATGTTCAGGACAAAAGATTAAAAAAACCGGAAGTTCTGCTGCAGTACCAAGGTCATCCACCAGGAGGCCCATATTTGACCTTGACCTTTGTCTTTCCAAGACTTACCAACATACCAAATATCATGGCAATCCATAAAGGCGTTCTAAAGGTATGTTGACCACAAAGTTGCGGAAACACAGACAGACACACAGACACACATACATACATACAGACAGACAGACAGACATACATACAGACAGACAGACGCGCCAAAAACAATACCTCCATTTTTCATGGAGGTAATAAACCAACTGTCGAACAGTCGAATCACCGCGAATGAAACCTGATTGTAAAAGGTAAAGAAGGTTGTTCTGAATACGGTGATTGTACATATGCTTGTAAACTATGTTTTCAAAAACCTTTGAAAGAGATGGCAATAAAGATACCGGGCGGTAGTTGCATATATCCTGTGCGTCCCCTTTCTTAAAAATAGGTATAACATTTGCATACTTCCAGATATCTGGGAACGTTCCGTGACACAGAAGGAGATTAATACATAAGCTATTTTTTCGGTTATAAGAGGTGTAATGGCTTTAAGGAATCTGTTGTCTAAATTATCATATAGCCATGGGCCTTGTAAATGTCAAGGTCTTTAACATAGAGACAAATTTCATCAGCTGGGGTAGTGATTTCAAATAGGCGGTGGTCCGTCAGGTAGTAAAATGGTGGTAAAGAAGTGTTCGAGTCATCAATGGTGGATTGCGACACAAAATACTTATTGGAAAGTTCTGCCTTATCAGTGGGATCAATAATAAATGTACTACCGTACGTCTTTTAGGGGGGGATAGTGGAAGTAACTTTCGGTTTATGAAAATATTTAACTATGTGCCAACACTTTTTCCCACGACTGGACGGTTCATTTAATACATTAAGAAGGTGACTATAGTGGTTGGATTTACTTCGGGAAATAGCAGTTGAAAGTTTATTACGAATTTTACGATAAGCCACCCAATTGGTGGGGAAGTTTGAAAGTTTGGCAATTTTGTGAAGTTTGTCACGCAGTGTCATAAGATTACGGATGTCCCGGGTCATCCAAGGTTTGTCCTTGGGCCTAACTAAAATGGTTTTACTCGGAACGCACAGGTCTTGGTTGCCTAAAGAATCAATTGCGATAACCTATTTGCGGAATCGTCAACAGATGAACAAGAATAGATTTCATGCCATTTAGAATCCAAGCAAAAAAAACTGACAACTTTTCATAGTCGATATTCTGATAATCCCAAACTATGCGGGAGTAAAGGTTTTGGAAAATGCACAGAAAATAACATAGAGCACCCAGACAGAGGCGCAAGTGTTGCGGTTGAATCAACATAGTTCGTTGCATCGGTAAATATTAAGTATTCATGGTTAAGTCGCAAGTCGGCTCTTTAATAATTGGGGCTAGATTTTAAAATTGTGTGGACTGAAATAGTTTGGCGCCGACAGGAGACGTCCGGTCCAAGTGCCACCAGTGTTCACAATTCAATCCTTCTGGGCTCAAGTTTCAAGTTTCAAGTTTATTTATTTAACCAGGATATAACTCAGATCTACCGATCTGCTTTTCAGTTATTCCTGGGAACTCAAGCCAAGGTACATTTAAAAATACAGTATATCACAGAGAAAAAAAATCACAATGACGTTACATTACATCACAATCAATTACATATAAATCACAGTGTGCACTGCTACAGTTACAGTCACATTCAGTAAACCGGTCCCTTCACCGTCTGGTTTTGAACACAGACGTTGATGTTATTTGCCGTTTGTCAACAGCTAGTCTGTTCCACGCTAGTGGCCCTTGATATTGCAAACTCCCTTTGAATGTTTCCAGGTTTGCCTTTGGAGTGTCCAGCATGTAAGGGTCGAAACTGAGGAGCTGTTTCATGGCAGTGCGTGTGCGAACTCTGAACACTGGGGGTGATAGCCATTTAAACATATTTGTCATGTAGGCAGGAGCTTTGTGGCGAACTGCCTTCTGTACAGCTACTAGCGTACTCACTTTTACCCTATCAGCCAGTGGTACCAAACCAGCCTCAGCTAGCAGGGTTTGTAGGA